TGTGCGGGACTACTGCTAGCACTACTGCGCCGGGGGCGGGCGGCGCTAGTTCCACGGGCGATGGCGCTCCTGTCGTGGGCGATCCACACCTGCAAATGTCCATGGTGAGCGTTTCGATGTTATGCAGGCGGGCGAGCACGTCCTCGTGAACATCCCCCGCGGAGTGAACGATGCAAAAGCAATGCTTCGCGTGCAAGCCGTCGCGCGCCGATTGGCTGGGCAGTGCAAGGATACGTATCTCCACGAGTTGAACGTAACGGCGTTTTGGGCAGAGGCAAAGAAGGTTGGCGGTTATTCTTATAGCGTATCGCGACATGATGTCCAGGTTCGGGGCTGGATTGCCCTTGGTAAAGTCGGGCTCGAGGTCGTTCGGGGACGTGCGGACGGGGGCTTGATGTGTTTGATTTTGCACGTCAAGCACCTTGGGCGACGGGGGTTTATTTTCTGAGGCTAACTGGGTGAAAATGACCACGAGGACGTCTGCAATCCTCCAGAAGCGCGTGCCCGCCGCTTTGCTTGTAATAAAAAGAGGCCGAGCGATCAGCGTCCTTTGGTGGGCTACGTCGCTATGGCACGCTTTGACTGATCAAGTCTTCCGCCCAGCGATGCGGGGGTCGTTCCCCCCTTTCAGTTCCGACGACCGTTCAGACGTAGCGACGCTGCCCGACCCGTGGACGAAAGCGAAACGGACGCTCTTCACAGAGGTAGAAGTGTCGGTCTCCCAGTGGTGCGCCGTATTTCTCTCGCGCAGCGGGAGGCGATTTTTCGGCGAGAAGTTTTCTGCTTGTTTTCACCCGAGCCTTGTAGCAGCTATGTCATTAAATTGCCGATATTTCTGGCATCAGGAACAGAGTCGCCGATGTTTTCGATAACGGCCCGCTTTGCGGTTTGTCAATACCTGGCCCCCTTGGAATTTCCAATCCAGGTGAGGACGCAGGGTTGCACATTTCGCCAGTCATGTGTTTACGATCATTCGGACAGGCTCTGTGTCTGCTCTCCGAGATTGTCGCTGGAGCGCAAGAGACTGAGGCCCACGTGTTGCCATTCTGCGTTCGAATTGAAACGCCCCCAAGACGGCTGGCTCAAGACTAGAGAGAACAACACCAGACAAAACGAGGCGAGACACGACAAGACGAGACAAGAAATGAAAAGGCGCGCCAAGACAGCCTCTGGGACGGCCCAAGATGACCCCAAGACGTTTGAAGAGGGCCCCAGAGAGACCACACATCCCCAACGACATATGGGACATCAGTGATGTTTGTTTGCCTTCCCGAAGAGCTCTTGAGGCTCCAGAAGTGCCCAATGACGGGCCCAAGACAACCCCAGATGCTCCCAGCCTCAATAGGGCTCCAAGATGTCCCAGAATCATTTCAAATCGTGAGAGGCCGCTGAAGGAACCCGTGGTTGGCATGAGAACGACCCCACGAGGCCCCCCTGAGGTTTCCAGATGCTCCCGAGAGGCTCCCAAGAGGCCCCGAGAAGCCCCTCTGAATTGTCCCCAATGTGAGCCGCTTAAGATGGCCAGCCTGTTCAGGTCAGCTACAGTCAGCTCATTGAAATGAGGACTGCTTTGGGTTCGGAAGGGGCTCGCTGTTCCTGAGGTCATTCTGCAGTTGTTCCTCCAGCCCTCATCGTGCACCCAGGCTCTTCTGGTGCCACACAGGACTTCGTCCCTGATCGGAGAGGCCTTAAGACTGGTGCCGCGGACCTTAGAATATGACCCGCATGATGCAGGAGATGTTCGGAGGTGTTCGGGAAGGTTGCAAGGCTCCCAAGAGGTTCCCGCGCGTGCTACTAGAGGGCTCCGTGATGTCAGAAGCCGTCGACGAGAGCGGGAGGATGAGATAATTTGGGCTATTCGTTCAGCGCCCCATCTTGCAGCAGCTTGCGAGTAGGCGAGTCGGAGAGCGGCTCCCCCCCCCGATGAATGGACGGTGCTCTGGGCCTGCCTGCCCATATCCCGGGGTGTGCTTCGTCTCAGAGGTTCCATTCAGGGCCTTGCTCCAGTGTTGTCTCTCCTCGGCATCTTTCGGACGTGTGCATTATTCCCGGCGGGGACCATCTAGGAGCATCTCTGATCATCTTGCAAAGAAAACGCTCGAGACCGAAAACTGCACGGGAGATGGACGTCCGAGTGATGTCAAGTTAATTGGGTCTTCCCATCGTTTGTGAATTCATCCCGATCGTAGAGAGAACACTACAGGTTGGGAACTAAACGATGACAAAAACATGAAAATTCTGGGGTCCGCGCAGATTCCTTGGATCGGCGCTGGACCGCCTTGGCGGCGCCTCCGGCGTGTGAGTTGATCCATACATAGCCTTGGAAGCAAAGAGGCCCCCGAAGAGGCCCTCAATAGGCTTTTGAGAGGCCCGCAATAAGCCCCCCGAAAGAGACCACTGGAGACTTCTGGCAGGCTTCATCTCGACAACCAAGCGATCTCGAACGGCATACCAACATCCTCATCGCGTAGTGTGGCGAAAGGGGTAGTCTTCTGACGTAGGGGTAGGGAGAGGGGTAGCCCCATCCCCGAAGGGGAAGAAGGCGGGTTTTGTAAACCTACATGTTTAAAGCGCCTACGTTCATCACTTCTGTCTTGCCTTCAGCTTGTTCTTATAGTGCCGTTTGATTGTACATAGTTTTCCGTTGGGGTTCGGTAGCTTGCCTTTAGCATGCCGTACCAGTTCGCATGATATAGTTTTCACGTGTTCTTTCAGCTTGCTTGTTGGTGTGCCATCATGTAGTTGCCTCAACAGCGTGTTTGTAAGGTTACCGATGTTTCTAAGGCGAGGATTGCGTCTCCCAGGTGCGACATCGGTAGCCCATCGTCTCCCGCATGGCCTCCCCATGGTCTCCCGCATGTTTTCCCGTTTGGTCCCCTGCCCGGCCTCCCGTGTGGTCTCCGGTATGGTCTCCCGTACGGTCTCCCGCATGGCTTCCCGCACGGTCTCACGCATGCAGATTGGTCCCTCCCCTGTTCCCTCGCCTCCCCCCTTCCTCTCCCTCCCGTCGTGGTCGTTGCCGGGGTCGTCGTCGTTTTCGTTCGGCTTGGTCGTCGCCGTCGCGGTCGTCGCCGTGGCCCTCCGTGTCGTCGCCGTCGTCGTCGTCGTCCTCGGCGGGCAGCGGTCCCCTGCCCCCCCCCTGGGGCTCGTGGCCCCCCTCGGGGGCGGCGGCTGAGACCGTGGCCTCCCAGCCGCCTGGAGGGCTGATGCTGCTCCAGTGTCGCTCTGCGCCGGGTTCCCCCGCTCCGTCCCTCCCTCCCCCCCCGTCCTTCTTCGAATCTGGGAGCCCCCAGCGTCGCCCGTCTGGTGGGCCCTTGGGCTTGGAGCAGCGCTCTCTCAGGGCGTCCCTCTGGCACGCGGAGCTGCCTGGAGGATTGAGCTGTTCATTCGCACGCTCCTGGCCGGCGGGGTCGCCTAGTGGCATCGGTCTGTCCGTGTTTGCTGGCCGCTCCTTCTTCAGGGTGCCGCCCCAGTCGCGGGCGGTCCGTGCTCGGGCTCTCATTCCTTGCAGTTCGGAGTCCTTCACATTCTTTCAACTTCCGCTAAGGAACTCGCTAGGCTTGCCAACCTTTGATTTGGTCTTTGATGCGCACTGCCGAAGTGGTGTATAATTCTTCAGGTGCTCCACCATGGTTAGGCCTTCAGGGTTTTTCAGTTGATAGATTGCTCTCCTCTGCTCCCTCCCCGTCCCTCTTTCCCTTCCTCCTGTCCGTGACTGCAATACTGCTGAGTGTTCATATTTGGCATTGGTCAGCCCCCTCGGGCTGCGACCGTTTAGATTGCCACCTCGGCATTACCAATTGCCGACGTTTCGTCGCCGCATTGTGCATACGGTTCACGGCTCCCCTTGATTGTCGTTATGTGATGTTTGATTTGTTCTCTGGTCGGTGGGATCACAGAGGGTGCACACACAATGCGATTACCCTCTCCCCCCGCTCCTCCTCCCCTTCCTTCGTCCTCCTCTTCCTCCTTCCTCCTCCCCTCTCTTTTTTAAGTGCCAGTGTCCGATGCTCATCTCTTTCAAGTGCCACCGAGTGGCTCGAGCGGCTCGTGTGTTTCACGCCTTCGTCATTCACAGCTTCGTGTTTTACAGTTGCCGGCTGTGCTGTCAGGACTGTTTCACAGAGATGTTGTATCGTGGTGTTGTCCGCGAAAAAAAGACGGTCTCTTCTCTGTTCTCCCAGATGGTCTCTCGTATGGTCTCCTGTAAACTATGGCCTACCGTATGGCCTACTTCAGGGTCTCTCGTATGGTGTCCCGCATGTTCCCCCGCACGGTCTCCCGCATGGCCTCCCGCATTTCTCATGGTTTTGATACGGATTTCCGTGTGGTCTCCCGCATGGTCTCCCATATGGTTTCCTGGATTGTCTTTCGTATTGTCTCCCATATGGTCTCCCGGATGGTCTCCCGTACGGTCTCTCGCCTTATTTCCGATACATCTATATATATGTATATATATGTATATCAGAATTGGTCGTGATCTAGAGTTTTCCACAGGTGTATTTCATCGTTTTCGAGAGCGCTATTTAGGGTATTACGTTGCCAAGGGTGGAATGTTAATTGTATCCCTCATGCTAAAGCCATGTGTTTTAAGTATGCCGTTGACTTACTTCTTACAAGTTGCTTGTCGCGTGCAGCTAACGTCTTGAGTTGTTACTTGTTTGTCTGTTTCTTTGTGTCTCCTTCCCGTGCAGGGCACTCCCCGGGTATATTGGCCAGTCCTCTGCACCAAGGCAAACACATTTTGCGCATCGCGTTCCGCCCAAAACCTTTCGTCTCCGCATTCGCCTCCGCCTCCGCCCCCCCCTCCCCTGCCTCCCGCTCCCCCCCTCCCTCCCCTGTGGGGGTCTCCGGAGGCTTCAGAGGTCCAGAAGTCTTTGGAGGCGTCTGGAGGTTCACAAAGACTTCAGAGAACATCTCGATCGGCGATCCTTCCTCCTCGTCCCTCCCTCCCGCTCCCCCCACTTCTTCATCCTGCGAGTGCATCGGCCGACCGGCAGGCCATGCAGATGCAAGCCCAGATGGCGCCTGGCATGCCCGGCATGCCCGGCATGCCGGGGCAGATGATGCCTGGCGCGATGCATCCGGGGCCAGAGGCGCGTTGTCTCTTTCGCTCCCACAGCTGGCCTTCCTGCATGGTTCGACGCTAATCGACGCTGGTCGACGCTAAATGGACGCTCATCGACGCTAAATCGGCGCTATCTCATCGATGACCAGACGCTAATCGGCGCTAGTGCGCCCGAAGGACGGAATTGCGAGGATACACAAGGCTCCCATGATTTGCTACCGAAGTGGCTTCGAAGAGCCCCAACATCAGAGTGAGGGCGCCGAACGGTCATTCATTGTCCCTGGGTGCGTGGTTGACCTGGGGTTCCGCGGTGCGGAGTTTTGTTGCGTCGTTGTTGGTGGTGCGTTGCTGTCGTCGTCTTGGCCCGCGACCCGCCCGCGACCCACCCCGCGACCCCCCCCGCGACCCACCCTGCGACGCATCCGCGACCCACCCCCGACCCATCCACTTGCTTTGAGGAAAAAATCGGCACCTGCGGCCTGCGGCGGGCTCGTTGTAGAATTTGTACAAGATCGACGCTTGCGGCGGGCTTCTTCAGAGCCTCGCAGACTGCCGACGACCCCTCCGTCCTCTCACTCTTATCCGCGATTGCGGGGTGCTACGTAATTTTTCGGAGCTCCGCTCGGATTTCTTGGATCGGCGCTGGGCCCCCTGGCGGCGCCTCCGGCGCCGCCCCCGGCGCGCTTCGCGCGCTGGGCAGGGGGGTCCAGCGCCGATCCAAGGAATCCGCGCGGACCTCCGAGTTATTGTGTTTCTGTTGCCGTTTGATTACAACTCTGGGCGACGGGGGGAGGACATGGAAACAAATCTCGATTTCATGAGGCCCGATCTTCCCGATCTTGTCTCCATGCTGCCCTCCCCAGCCCATCGGAGAGCTGCGGCAGGAGCAGGGACATTGGGGGAACGAAAAATGTCATAACCATAAACTGTCGGAGCTCCGCGCGGATTTCTTGGACTGGCACTGGACTCCTCTCTCTGGCGCGCGGAGCGCGCCAGGGGCGGTGTTGAAGGCGCCGCCAGGGGGTTCCAGCGCCGATCCGAGAAATCCGCGCGGACATTCGACAGTTGATGCTTGTGATATCTGTCATTCTCCGAGGCAACGACCGCCTATCTGGGCAGGAGCCCATCGGAGAGTTGTGGCAGGAGCAGGGGAATGGACAGAATGTCGATCGCCTACATGAAGCCCCCGATGGCCCCCCAGGGTATCCAAGGAACTGCCCTCCCCCCGTGGCCCGCTCGATGAGGTGTGCAGATCCTCGGCGCGACCCCACGCATGAGGTCGCCGCCGTCGTCGTCGTCGTCGTCGTCGTCGTCGTCGTCGTCGTCGGCGTGGGCGTCGGCGTCGGCGTCGGCGTCGGCGTCGGCGTCGGCGTCGGCCCCCGCCGACGGACGTCATGCCGAGCTGCTTGCAGCAAACCCCGGCACCGTGCCAGCTCGGCATTGGCGTGCACTCAGGACGGTTATACCGCTCGGAAGGCACAAGCCACGGTCGGCTCGCAGCGCTGCTGCGCGCGGCCAGGGTCGAGCGCCGGTTTGCACGGGCGAGTGCGCGAGGGCGCGCGTGCGCCGCCCAGGGTTGGGGGGAGCGCCGTGCAGGCTCGGCTGGGTGGGTGCCCCGTCCCGCTCGGCGAGGGCACCTGCGGTGCGGATTTTGACGAGCCTGGGCGTGTTCTGCCGATAGGCTCGGCCGTAGCGCGTTGCTCCTTGGAGGTTCCTCGGGTGCCTTTTCTCCTGGGTTGATCTTGGAGACGACGAGGCCTCCCTGGATGCGGAGGACATCCCCAGCGCTCGCAAGGCCGATTGCAGAGCCAAAGCGAATCCTGATCAATCTTCCCAGCTACGCGGCCGCGGGTGCCTCCATGGGGGCCGAGGAGAGCTGGTGAGAATGCCCGTCCTCCAAGCAATTAGAGAGGGCTCGTCTAGCTTATGAGGTTTCGAATTCGGCCACGTGTGACCCACGTCTGCCTCTGAACGCGGCTAGGATTCTGGTCGTTGCGATCTATAAGTCTAGTTCATGACAGGTGTCAAAGCGGTCAGGCCTGCTGCGTGTGCAGCCAAGGCCTCGGCTGTCGCAAGACATTGAAGACGTTTCTTGGTTTCTCTATTGTAGATTCGCGTCGTATCGACCGGCGGCGACCCTGCCGCGGGCATTCAACATTTAACGCTACCGGCGACCTAGAACCGGTTGATGTTGAACGATTCGACGTTTCGAAAATGGCCGACCATGGCCGATCATGCAAAGTTGAACGATCCATGCGGTGTCAGAAACCAACGCAGGGGCCGTCAGGACACGACCTTGCCGTAAACTGTTTGGGACACGCCATCCCATATTCACTGGCCAGTGGCTTGGCCCAGCGTTTGCCGATTCGAGGCAAGTCCTCACAACGTAGTCGCAGCACGTATTGCGAAGGCCTGACGGCCGGTGCCGCCGACCCTGTTCGCAATGCGCAGCAAGAGGCACGGGCTGTGGGATGGTTTGGGGGAACGGGGAGAAGGACGAGAAGGTGGGGGAGGGAGGTGTCGCATCTGACCCGGGACTTCCCCGGGACTCCCCCGGGACCCCCCCCGGGACCTCCTCTCCCCCCCCCGTCGGGGAAGGGAAAGGGAAGGGGCTTCCCTTCGACTCAATGACGACGTTGCTCAAGGTCGGTACGGGGGGGGGGCGTCGTATCTGACTCGGGGGGGGGTCGCTACCCCCCCCGCTACCCCCCCCCCCCCTCCCGGCGGGGGAGGAATGAAAGGGAAGGGGCTTCCCTTCGACTCAATTACGAGGTTGCTCAAGGTCGGCTTGGCTGGAGCCCAGGGGAAGAGGAGTCCCAGGGGGGGGCGTCGTATCTGACCCGGGGGGGGGGTCGCTACCCCCCCCCCCCTCCCGGCGGGGGAGGGATCAAAGGGAAGGGGCTTCCCTTCGACTCAATTACGAGGTTGCTCAAGGTCGGCTTGGCTGGAGCCCAGGGGAAGAGGAGTCCCAGGGGGGGGCGTCGTATCTGACCCGGGGGGGGGGTCGCTACCCCCCCCCCCTCCCGGCGGGGGAGGGATCAAAGGGAAGGGGCTTCCCTTCGACTCAATTACGAGGTTGCTCAAGGTCGGCTTGGCTGGAGCCCAGGGGAAGAGGAGTCCCAGGGGGGGGCGTCGTATCTGACCCGGGGGGGGGGGTCGCTACCCCCTCCCCCCTCCCGGCGGGGGAGGGATCAAAGGGAAAGGGCTTCCCTTCGACTTGGCCCAGCGTTTGCCCAGCGTTTGCCGATTCGAGGCAAGTCCTCACAACGTAGTCGCAGCACGTATTTATGTATGCTCATCCTTATGTATTTGGGCCAGCTCAGTTTGCTTACTTGTTGGCTCTCTGGTTGTTTGGCGTGCATGCTATATTACACTCGCTGACTGGTACTCGCTGCTTCCAGTGTATCAGTTCTCCCGTCTCCAAAATACAAACATCATTTCGAACCGAGTTCAAGCCTTCTGGGACAGTTCGCCTTTTTGACGAGCATGGATGTCAACGGACCGCCGCGTGTGGACGCTGCGATCCAGGCAGAGCTAGCTCAATCTATGGCGCCTCGCTGTCGTCCCAAGTCGACCGCGCAGAAACATCATGTACATAAATTTCGGGGACCCCCTGGCGGATTCCCGCGGTCTCTGGCGGGTCCACGGGGCCGCCCGAGGGAGCGTTTCGGGGGGCCACGAACATTTGTGAGCCAGCTTGTTTGTGGATGTGCTAGCGAAAACCATTTGGTCAAGCACTGTCAGTCGAAGGGAAATAGATGGATGCCGAAACCCAGTTTGGTTCAAGTCTTGAGGACCGCACTGAATACCTCTAGCTTGAGGGGCTCAAGGAATTTGATGCCCTATTCTTCACGTGCCATAGCGTCGTGGAGGACATCAGGAAACCATGACGAAAGTCGGTTCGGGACTGCAAATATTCCCGAGCACGCGAAGGATTGGTCGTGGAGGCGTTCCCGAGGTTTGGGGGCACAGGACGAGCCCTAGAGCTGTTCACAATGCAGTCTGCCGGAGGGGCTGAGGAAGGGGAGCGGCACCGCTGCTCCGCATATTTTCGACGTCTCGGCTCCAGAGTCTTCCTTTGCCCAGTCTTAATCGCCTTTCAGGGCTCGACCTAAACTTTGTTTGGGCGATTGCGTGGGCCGTTTTCGTGTCGATGTCCTTTTGCAGCAGAGACGGAAAACGGTCAACTTTGGAACATTTTTGTATAATGACAACGTCAAGGCAATGTGCAGTTGAGATCGAAATCGAGTTGTTTCCCCAGTTAGGTTTATCTGAGGGCTTCTTATTTGGTTAAAGGTTTGTGCCTTCTAATGTTACTTTGCCCTTTGCTCGGAGGTTCCTCGGGTTCCCTGGCCCCCAGTGCCTCCTATTGTTACGATGCCAGTTTCCCAAAGGTTCCTCGGGTTCCTCGGGTTCCCCGCCCCCGGTGCTTCCAGCCAAGCAATGCAAAGCAATGCCAAGCAGTATTGAGCAATGCCAAGCAATGCCAAGCATTACGAAGCAATGCCAAGCAACGCCAAGCAGTGCCAAGCAACGCACAGCAACGCCAAGCAATGCCAAGCAACGCCAATCAACGCCAAGCAATGCCAAGTAATACTGAGCAATGCCAGGCAATGCCAAGAAATGCGAAACAACGCAGAGCAATGCCAAGCAACGCCAAGCAATGCCAAGCAATGCCAAGCAATACTGAGCAATGCCAGGCAATGCCAAGCAATGCCAAGCACGACGAAGCAATGCCAAGCAATGCCAAGCAACGCAAAGCAATGCCAAGCGATGCCAAGCAATGCCAAGCAATGCCAAACAGTACTGAGCAATGCCACGCAATGCCAAGCAATGCCAAGTATTACGAAGCAGTGCCAAGCAATGCAAGCAATGCCAAGCAATGCCAAGCAATGCCAAGCAATGTCACGCAATGCCAAGCAACGCCAAGCAACGCCAAGCAACGCCAAGCAATGCCAAGCAGTACTGAGCAATGCCAGGCAATGCCAAGCAATGCCAAGCACGACGAAGCAATGCCAAGCAGTGCCAAGCAACGCCAAGCAACGCCAAGCAATGCCAAGCAATGCCAAGCAACGCCAAGCAATGCCAAGCAATGCCAAGAACTGCCAAGCAATGCCAAGCAATGCCAAGCAATGCCATCAATGCCAAGCAATGTCAAGCAATGCCATCAATGCTAAGCAATCCCAAGAAATGCCAAGGAATGCCAAGCACTGCCAAGCTATACCAAGCTATACCAAGCGTAGCCAAGCAATACCAAGCAATGCCAAGCAATGCCAAGCAATGCCAGTCAGTATTACGCAAGACGAAGCAACGCCAAGCAATGCCAAGCAGTGCTACGCAATGCCGAACAATGCGAAGCGTAGCCAAGCGTAGCCAAGCAATGCCAAGCAACGCAAAGCAACGCCAAGCAATGCCAAGCAATGCCAAGCAATGCCAAGCAACGCAAAGCAATGCCAAGCAACGCCAAGCAACGCCAAGCAATGCCAAGCAATACTGAGCAATGCCCAGAAATGCCAAGATATGCCAAGCAACGCAGAGCAATGCCAAGCAATGCCAAGCAACGCCAAGCAATGCCAAGCAATGCCAAGCAATGTCACGCAATGCCAAGCAATGCCAAACGCTGCGCCCATGCAATAGGAAGCTTTCCCTTGGTTTGGGTCGCGCTGGGGTCACGGTCAAGGAAGAACACGAACACGACCAGAACCGCTGAGGTCGAGCCTTGTTTGGATTTTTTGGAACGGCGAATTTCTTGTTCCGCTGGCCTGACGCTGCCTTCCGCCTGCGGACCCGCCGCCGTTTTATCCCAGCCTTCCGCAGAGGAAGAGGCACCAACTCCGGCGACGCCCGAATCCAACACACGAAAATCACCGCTCAGGGCGAGCCCTGCCGCCTGTATGAGCCAAACCGAGCCCGCAAAAGACTTCTAGACGGCCGAGGTGCGGATCCAGGGCCGGGTGGCGAGGTCCTCCAAGATTTTGAAAGGGGAGAAAGGGTAGATTTGGTCTCGGGGTGATGGGGGTTCGGGGTCTCTGGGTTTCGGTGTCTCTGAGGGTCTCGGTGTGTCGGAGTCTGGGGTTCTCGGGGTCTCGGGGTTTCGGGTTTTGGGTTCTCGGGATCTCGGGGTTGGGGGGTTTCTGGATTTCGGGTTCTCGGTGTTTCGGGGTCTTGGGGGGTCTCGAAGTTTCGGGCAGGGTCCCTGGGTTGCGGGGTGTCTGCCCCCCACACGGCCAGAGCTCACCGGGGACCCTTCTGGCTTCATTCCCTCCCTCCCTCTCCTCATGCCACCGCCCCCTCCCCGTCCCCCTCTTCCCGCTATCTCCGTCACCTCCCAATCACTTTCCACTCCCCATCTCTCCCCTCGCTCACCCCCTCCATCCCCGTCCCCCCCACCCCTCCTCTTGGCCTTCCTCCCCTAGGCCGCAGCGCAGCCGCAGCCAGCTGCGAGCCCACCGCAGTTCGGCGACCTGTTGAACACTTGGAAGCAGCAAACCGCCCCAGGCGCCACAACCGCCACCAGAGAACCCGAGGGATCGCTTGGGGATCGCGTGTCACGTGGATCTGTCTGGCCATCGCCGTGTCTCGCTGGGATCTCTGGAGTGGCAATTTTGAGCGTCTGCCGATCCGCTTGTTTGAGGAAAGAGCTTCGGCAGTTGTTTCGGTTGGGAGTGCTTCCAGGGCTGTGAAAGTTTGCAGTGGCAGACGGAGGACGCGATTGGTGAGGCAATATGAGGGCGGTTATTGTTTACGGCTTCCTTTCTCACGTTGCGCGGTCGTAGTGTAGTTAGCCTTTGGTGAGGACATGTTGTAGCATCTTCGGCAGGGAGTGGTGGCCTCATGCGACGTTCGTAGAAGCCTTGCGAGCTGGCGAAGCAGTTCATGTATCTCGGTACTTGAACTGTGGACGCAACAGGAGCCTGACATTCGCGGCATTTTTCGACCATTATGACAATATATCTATATATATGCCTATGTTTGGACATGGGCGGTGAATAAGAGTAAGCGTGTAAGTGATCCCAGATCCGAGTCGGTTGCAAATTGCCTCATGCTCGAACCAAGGATTCGTATTTGGAGTTTGATTGGGGAGGCGGAGAAGTTCTAGACAGAATAAGCGGACGAATGGCCCTCGCTTATCTCACGGTAGCAGGTAGTAGCAACACGGGAATTTCAAGGAACGGGTGGTGCAGGGAAGGACGCGACAGCGAAAGATGGCTAGATGTGAATCGTAGAGGAGAAGCAGGAGGGGCGTTGAGGAATGAAATGGACGCGCGTCGGGGAACAACGACTGACATGAACATGAACTATTGGAGGTCCGCGCGGATTTCTCGGATCGGCGTTGGGGCTCTCCTGGCAGCGCCTTTGGCGCCGCCCCTGACGCGCTCCGCGCGCCAGGGAGGGGGGTCCAGCGCAGATCCAATATTATTTCGCGAACCTACAACAGTTTATGCAAATACAGTTTGTTGTTCTTCGAGTGGAGGTTGGCATGGGCGCTCGGCCATGGCTCCTTACAGGCGTAACACCCACCCACACTGTAGATCGGGTGAACATGCAACACGCACCAAACACGTAAATGCAACGTTTCCCAAATCCATATCAACGTTATGCCGTTTTGGCAGATGATTATGCCATATGTTGTTGCCCCAGAGTGGGGCCAGGGGATGCGCGCCTGCACGATGGCCCGACCTGGGCGTCCACGGCATGGAATTTTCTCGGTGGCAAATCATGGGAGCCTTGTATACCCTCGCAACTCCGTCTTCATAGTGTGTTAGCGTCGATAAGCGCCTGGTAATCGATGTAGCGTCGATTCGCAAGAGTCCACAAGATGGTATGGGAGGCCCCCATGAGTTGCCACAGAAGGTTTTCGAGGCACGGGGGCTGGCGAGGGGCTCTAGGGCATGCTCGGCGAAGCGGCGCAGAAGAAGACAGCGGGGCATGTTCGGCGTGTCTTGGATCTTGGCATCGCTCGAACGTGTGCATTTTTCCCCAGCGAGGTCCAGCGAGGAGCATATAGGGTCATCTTGCGAAAAATAGAAGCACGACATTTGAACATGCACCGTGAATGGACGTCCGAATGATGGCAGAACGGCGCGTCTTGGATTCCAAGTGGTCGGTCCGCAAGTCAAGAGCCACGGGGTGGACTGGGGAGTAAGGGTGCCTCTTGGAGCCGTCTGGGGGTCTGAAGTGGCCCAGCACTGGTTCCAGCCAGCAGAACGGGCGGGCAGGTCCGAGGTTCTGAGTTCGGGAAGGTTTTTGTTGCCCTTTGCGGCATGTGAAAAACGGATCCTGGGTGAAAAATTGCACCACATGGACCCCGGGAGGGGTTCAGGGACCGATTTTGAGCGGATGAGGGTCCATCCTTATTTCCTGACCGATTTTCTGAGCTCCCAGCCAGCTCAGACCCCCTGGCCGCTTCTCCAAGCTGCCTCCCTTGCAGCGCGCGCTCTCGACATGCCTCTCCACCCTCTGGGTACCACACAGGCCCACCTCCAGCCGCAGGGGGCAACCGTGAGAGCCCGTGGGCGTCTTGGGACTCCTTTCTCGACGCCTAGGAACGTTTGCCGCGTGTGAGCGCCTGTGAACGCGGTCGGTCTGCGAGTCCGTGGCCCCCTCCAGCACCAGGACGGCCGAATATCCGCGGCTCCACCGGGCGCTTGCGCGCGGCCCCCCACGTCACAGGGCAGCGCGCACTCGCGATGTCCCCCCCCCATGACGGCAGGTGTCGCGCCAGCGCCGGCGCTGCCTGCCCAGGCTGCGATGGAGAACCCCTTCGACTTGATGTGAGGACGGACGGCAACAGAACGGCCCCGCACCAGCGGGGAGAGTCGAGGTTGATTGATAGGTCGACCGGTCGACCCTGCCAATCAAGGATACCCTCGTATCCTGTGGTTCGCGACCACTGCCTTTTGCAGCTATTTTGCATTCTACGGCAGTGTGGCCCTCGGAAGGGTCTTGTGTCCTCGCCCGTGTCCTCTCATATCAACCCCAGACTGTAGAAAGCGCTGCACCAGCGGGTAGAGAGCCGCAGAACGCTTTCTGTGGACATGGTGGAGGGCCTCCGACCCCCCTCGGGGCCACGGCTGCGGGGTCGAGCACGTTTCGATTCAGATTGTACCCGAATCTGGCGCCTTATATCTCAGTCAGTCGGGCGGGTGGTCATGGGGGGTGGCCTAAATTGGGAGTGAAGGAACGGTCCCTGAAGGGGTGCTTCCGGGCCTCTTTTTGGAGCTAGGGGCCCAAAAAGGACCCCAATTGGCCCCTTCGGGGCCCTTTTCTCCACCCCCCAGTCAGGTCACCCCCCATTACCACCCGCCCGAAGTTAGAGCCAAGCCAGATCATTGTGCGACCCTCCCCGGGGCGGCACTCTCTCAGAAGCCCGAGGCCATCGGTTCATCCATTGGGACACCACAGTCAACGCGCATAGTCAGGATGAGCGACTCTCCAAGCCGTGCCCCTTCGGCCCATCCTTGGCGACGTTCTCTGGCCAACGCCGTTCGAAAAACGTTAACATGACCTTAAAAGGCCCTTGCATCCTTAGTATGCTACTGATAGTATGTGGCCAGTCGGTTGGGTCAGCGACCGAGCATGACTTGTGGGGCCAGGCACCCCGCGCTTGGAGCATGGATGTTGACTTGGCAGGTGTGCCCACAGGCCCGCCAGGCCGCGTATGGGCACGGTTGCGTGTACGTGACCAGGTGTGCCGCGAAGTCTTCGTGAATGCGAATACGGTCGCATGGATGTTGAGCGCGATTTCACCTGTAAGGTAATGGGAAACGTCGCCGAGTTGCCAACCAGGCGAGTACGGTTGCGCTGGGGCGCGCAGCTTGTGCGCGATGTGTGCGTGCTTGCTTGGCACCCTTGTAGCACCCCGAGGAAGGCTGCCTCGCATTTGAGGGGCTCTGCCTGGCACCGGATGCCCAGCTCGGCAAGACAAGGGTGGATGGTGGATGAGAAAGACACCAGGAGGAGGCGGAGATGGAGAAGGAGGAGGAGGAGGACGACGACGACGAAGACGCGGAATGGGATGAGGAAACGGAGTGGCAGCACGATGCGGAGGAGAATACAATAGTTAGGGTACATGCTCGGGATCCTCTTTCTCAGATGTTTCAGTGCGGTCAAGTGAACGCAGGTCCGTCGGATTTGTCAGCTTTGATTGACTTCTTCCACTAGTGCAGAATCTCGATGGCCGCGGCAGCGCGCGAGTGCATCGCAAGCTGGTGCAGGCGTGTTGCTGGCTGGGCCACGGCTGCGGGGTCGAGCACGCCTGGATACAGATTGTACCCGCCTTATATCTCAGTCAGTCGGGCGGGTGGTCATGGGGGGTGGCCTAAATTGGGAGTGAAGGAACGGACCCTGAAGGGGTGCTTCGGGGCGCTTTTTGGAGCTAGGGGCCCAAAAAGGACCCCAATTGGCCCCTTCGGGGCCCTTTTCTCCACCCCCCCAGTCAGGTCACCCCCCATTACCACCCGCCCGAAGTCAGAGCCAAGCCAGATCATTGTGCGACCCTCCCCGGGGCGGCAATCTCTAAGAAGCCCGAGGCCATCGGTTCATCCATTGGGCCACCACAGTCAACGCGCATAGTCAGGATGAGCGACTCTCCAAGCCGGGCCCCTGCCTTCCACAGGGGGCCGTGCAGCGGGCCGACCGCTCAGCTCAGTGTCAGGATCAGCAGACACGCCGTCGCTGCAGGGCCCTGGCCAGCACAGCGGAGGAGCGGCCGCGGCCGCGGGAGCGAGGAGCGGCCGCCCGCTCCTCCTGCGCCCCCCCTGCAGCGGAGCGGGCCCAGGAGGCCCTCGAGCGCAGGGGGGCCAGGCTGGAGCGGGTCAGGAGACTCGCGGGAGGACAGGGCACCCCTACCGCTGCCCCTCCCTCGTCTTCCCCTTTTTTGGGCCTCCTGGGAGGCCCTCGACGCTACCGCTGGATTCGCCTCGAAATTCTGGTCAGAACGGAGCCGGGGAAAGGTCCGAGGAGTAGCGGTATTGGTACCTTCTGGTTTCCGCAATGGAGGTGGAGTTTGAGACCGTTCGAGGCCTCAATCCGATCGTGCATATGTGTCCCCCTTTTCTGCCAAGCGGCCGCACTCGTCCTTTTCTGGTCTCCCTATGTATGTTCAGTATGCTCTGGTCCAACCCTTTCATCGGCTCGGGATGGTCAAGTCAGCTTTATTACGACAAGACCTCCCAGCGGCCAAATGGGAATGAAGAGAATGTGGAATGAAGGCGGAGGTGTTAGGTGGTGGGGGAAGGAAAGGTGTCAGAAGGAAGAGGATGCGTAGGTAAATCAGGAGGAGGCGGAGCAGGAGCAGGACAGCCCTACGCCGAAAGAGCCTCCGTGGGGGGCCCGCGTCCACCATGGCCAGTCAGGCCAAGTGCGGCTTGGCCACGCTGTTGTTTTCCACCGACGCTAGACCCGTGCTGCGAGAAACTCTGCATATTCTGTGACAGGGCTCGACCTCAACGGTGTGTTTGCGATTTCGTGGACCGTCTTCGTTTTGCTCCCGCTTTGCAGCAGAGGCGGAACGAAGACAGACCGAGGGAAAATCGGACGGGGCTAGGACGAGGAGAGCGTCGTTCCAGAGCATTCTGGAACGCTCCCAGAGCGTTCAGGAAATCTCTGAGAAGGCCGTGGCGCCCGAGACGTCCTCCAGAGCCGCCCGATCTCAGATCTTCTCGACTTACTCTCACCCGCATTTCTCCTCGGCCTGGCTTCGTCTCAGGAAGGGAATCTCCGCAGGTCTCACCAGGAGGGTTCTCCTGGGACCTCGAGGCGTAACCGGAGGCGCTCGGCTGCGCCGAGGAGCGCCCGGGCAGGCAGGCAGAGCAATCGCTGCCCAGCCCGAAGGCCCTCAGTTGCCCTCCCTCCCCCCGGGGGAAGGGGGGGGGGCCAGAGGGAGTGCAAGGACAGGGGGCAAGCACTGTTCAGGTCGAGCCCCGTGCTGTGAGCTTGTGCCCTGCCCGCCCACGCCTGCAGCGGCAGAGGCGGCGGCACCCTTCCATGCCTCGAAAGCCGGAGCCCCCTGTGGCATCGCAGTGCCCGAACCGGCCACGTGCAGAGGGTGGCCAGGGGAGGGCGGGGAGGGTCTCGATGTCGCGGGTTCTCCAGCTTTCGGCTCTCTGTCCCACGGGCGACGGCACAGGGGCCGGGCGCTCGAGAGTGACCCGAGGCGTGTGGGACTCGAGAGTGGCCCGAGAGTGACCCCTGTGGTATCGAAGTGCAGGAGACAGCCACGCGCAGAGGGAGTACGTCATAGGAGGACAGGGCACCCCTACCGCTGCCCTTCTCTCGTCTTCCCCTTTGTGGGCCTCCTTGGAGGCCCTCGTCGCCACCGCTGGATTCGCCTCGAAATTCTGGTCAGAGAGCAACCTGGAAGAGGTTCGGGGGTGGCGGTATTGGTGTTTTTTGTTTCCCCTTGGTAGGTTCATGCGACATTAGCGCGCCGGCGACGCCGGCGAGATCAAGGTTGAATTCTGTGACGCGGAAGCATCATGGGACACGGTGACTCCCTTGGACCCGACGGCATTCAATTTTAACGATCGGGGCTGCGATCGATTCAGGGTTGAATGGTCGACGCGGTGCCAAAAATTTGCGCGAACCCACGCCGCACGAACCTACCGTATGGGGATGGTGGAAGGCTTCTTGGAAGCACCCCTGCTTCTCAGAAGGCGCAGGCCTTCTCTGCAGACGTAGGGCCGGCGCCTTCTAAGAAGCAGCCTCCTTCTAAGACGCCTTTCCCCTTCCCCCTACCCACCTGTGCGCGCCGCCAAAAGAAAGTCAACACTTGCTTTCTTCACTTGAGCGACGCAGAAAAAAGGGGTCGTCTTCACCGACATTGGCGCGTAAGTTTCCCATGTAATCGCGATTGGTCTTTAATGCTGCACCCCCTCCCCCTCCCCAAAGCTCTCGGCTGGCAATAAAACTTGTCCTCCCCCTCCTCGTCCCTCCCCTCCTCGCCCTCCTCGCTCTCCTCCTCGTGCTCTCCTCCTCGCCCTCCCCCGGCTCGTCGTCCCTCTCCTCGACCTTCCCCTCCTCGCTCTCCCTCCTCGCCCTCCTAGGGAGTCCTTGGTCTCTAGGAATGCCTGGGAATCGCTTCTAGGATTCCAAGGGGTTGCTAGGAATCCTATCCTGAGGAATCCTACAAATCTTCACGAATCCATGGGAATCTGAAGGAAATCCTGCGAATCCTTTTGAACCCGTATGAATCCTTAGAAATCCTACGAATCCACAGGAATCCTGAGGGATCCCTGGGACTGAGGAATCAGTAGAAGCCCCAGCAATGGCCGCCGCGTGAAACGAACTATTTTCCCAAACATCGTTTTCGGCCCCAATCCCTTGAGAATCCCGCGCAGGACAATATTTCTATCCTAAAAATGGGTTTACCAAAGACCCATCTGGGCTAAGGTCGCACGCAAGCGCCCTCGAGACATGATGTCAAAGCTAGGGCCGTCTGGCGTTCGAAGTGACCCCGCACCAGTTCTGGCCAGCAGGGCCGGCAGGTTCGAGGTTCTGGGTCCGGGAAGGTTTTCAGCTTTGTGTAGGACCCCAGGGGTGATCTTTCGAACGTTGGGATTGGGATCGTGAAGCACGATCTGGGGTGAACATTTGCACCAGGTGGACCTCAGGAGGGTCCACGGACCGATTTTGAGTGGATTTGGTTTCATCTCCGTCTCCTGGCCGATTGTCTGAGGCCCCAACCAGTTCAGACCTCCTGGCCGCGTCCAATGCCAAAGGCATGCATGGCTGTCCAAAAGGGTTTTGATGTCGCGGGTTCTCCAGCTTTCGGCTTT